TGTTTTGGTTTTTTTCTGCAGCACAGTAAATTGCTACTCTTTGAAATGCTTGGAAAAAAAAATTGAATGAAGTCCAAAGGAATATTCTGATTGCCAGTGGCTGTTCTCTCTGTCTTAACCTAGATCAGTTTGACATAAGCCATTTATTTCATGGTTAACCCCAGAAAAATCCTGCAGGGAATATAAATTTGTGCATTAATCCTGCTCACCAGTTTGGTTCCACTTAGGTTTGGATGAAGGAGGTGCCACATTGCAACCCCCCAACTCAAATTTACTGTTTTGAATGCTTTCACAAGACACCATTCCAAAGCCTTCCGTGATCCTCACACAAACTCATTATCACAGAGGAGAGAAAGAGACACCACTGTAAGTGCTGAGCATTACAATGAAACATAAAGCAGCATTAAAGTTGCTCCGTGCTTAATGCGGCGGTTTAAGCAGCTAATCTTGTTTTGGTTGAATGGCATGTTCATTACAGCAAATAAATCAGTAACGTGGAGGATTATTGAAGAGGAAAGACATTTTAAACCAGTTTAGGGCATCGTATTGATTTTTGAATGGTTTTTTTCTGGTGTCCGATTTAGCTTGGCGTTTTTCAACAGTCAGTTCTAATAAACACTTGTATGGCACAGATTAAGCAGGTGGGAACACTGCCCAGAAAGAGTATTATGAATAACTTAATGCACTGGTTTAATTGCAGCAATCCATGATACTTACTGTGCTGGCACCAGAGGGGAATTTTCAGTATTAAAAGTTAAAACTTCAACCAAGCTACTAGGCAAGAATCTCTCTTCTATTAAACATTTGAAAAAGCTTTCCAGCACTTTCACCTCAGATGGGAGCAAGAGATTTCAGAGTTCATGTCACTTTTTAACTGATTTCTACCACAACTAATTAAGTCATTTTTAAAAAACAATTAGCATTTACTGGACGCAGCTTTGCCTCTCTAACTCTGCAAAACATTGCAGCACTGTCCCTGCTGTCCTTGTGCCTGTCAGCCCCTTTCTGCCCAACCCCCTTTGCACACATGATGCACAGAAGCATCAAACCAAACCTAGCTCATGCTTCAAGCAGCAGGCTCCTTTCAGAGCTATACTATACAGTATTCCCATATTTCTTCCCCACAGCACCAGCCCCCTGGCATTACCCTTGTGCAGCTCAGAAAAATGAGTAGGAGCAACTTGATCCAGCTTTGGAGATGGCCATGGTTGAGGACCTTCAGGGGTCTCAGGGTAGGGCTGACAGGAGAAGAAATACAGCTAAAGCTTAGGTGAAAGAGCAAAGTGCTCCCTATTGCCAGATGGGCTCCCCTCAGCCTCAGTGATTTGTCCATAGAATCATCATAGAATTTTAGGGTTGGAATGGACCTTACAGATAGATCATCCAGTCCCAAACCCCTGCCCTGGGCAGGGACACCTCCTCACAAGATCAGGCCTTGAACACTGCCAGGGCTGGGGCACCCACTACCTCCCTGGGCAACCTGTGCCAGTGTCTCACCATGCTTATAGTAAAAAACCTTTTTCTCACATTCAACCCAGACTTTCCCTCCTTAAGTCCATGTCCATGTAGAGTAGAAACCTCTGAGACATTTGAGGTAAACAAGCTCCCATCCCACACACCATGCACCAACACATCAAAGCAAGGGTTCAGTGGGAAACAGGGGTGGGGAAGTTGTTTTATCTGGGGGGGGAAAAATGCAGCTTTTTCTTCTCTGTGTAAGGGCTGAAAGTAACAAAATCTCCTTCTTCCTCACCTTGAGGCTGTGTGGGGTATGAATGTTCATCTTAGCTCACTGTGCCTCTGGAGAAATCTGCCTGTTTGTGGATGCTCCCACACACCCATCATAGCCAGCACAAATCAGAAGTGCCTCAGGCAGCTCCTCTGGCCTGGAGCAGATGCTGAGGAAAACCAGTTTGGAGCAGCACCAATTTTCCAGCAGAGCAAAGTGCTGAAGCTGTGTGCCATAGCAGAAGATGCTGGTCTGATAGCTCCCTGAGCCCACACCCAGTCCTGGGCACAGACCACGCCAGGAACACTCCTGATGGACAGCAGAGGTGCTGGTATCTGTATCAAACACCTGCACTTGGGACAGGTTATCACACAGCTGACCATGTCATCAATCACATCACCTCCTGTTTTCTTCCTTTCCATGTTATTTTTGCCTCTCATTAGACCAGAGCCTCCAAGACAACCACACTGCAACCCTCAACACAAGGCTACTAATTGCACATAAATCATCCTGGCTGACTCCAGCAAGCAGCAACAGACACCCATCACAACACTGGGAGAAACAACACTCCAGAGAAGTCGCAGAATTTACTGGCTCTGCCCTTCCAATGTGCAGCTCTTTACCCTGGCAAAAATACACAATGTGCATCCTGCACAAACTTAGCAAAGATCAGGCTGAAAAAGCTTACACGAGTCCCAGAAGGAAAATTCACAATGAAAATGAACAAAAATTGGTAAGTTACCCATACATTCTGATTAGGAGTGCAGTGATTTCGCTAATCACACAGCTTATCATTCCAGAGAAACTCTATATTCAGGGCACGAAAACTAAGGTATAAATTAGTAGAAATGCAAGAAGGTTTGATGGCACTTGATTAACTGGACAGAAAGCACCAGAAACAAAACATTAGGAAACCGAAGCCATTTTGTGATTGTAGCAAGCATTTAATAAAGATGGGAAAAAGCAGCCATTACACAAAAAATTCTATTTTTTGTTTGTTTTAAAGAAAAGGTCCCTTTTTTGTGCTAAACAGGAATCCTCACTCAGCTCAAAATAGAACAGCTTTGTAAAGAACCTTTGAACGAGAATGACTTCTACACCATCACACAATTCAGGTGCCCTCACAGGAGAAAGCAGTTGCTAGAAGAAAGTCCCTGTTGTCCTCCCACTACTTACTCCCTTTCAAGTCCCTCTCCCAAACATAGAGGCAACCAGAACCATCCCTAGTCTTCCAGCTGAAACCACACCTCATGCACCAGCACTACAATTTCCTCAGCCTTCCCTGGAAGTCCCTTGCAGGGGATGCCCTGAGTAGTAAATTTGCCTTTGAGACATCCAGATCCTGCCACCCAGTGCACAAGGCTCCTGCCCTCAGGCCAGACACTTGCTGTCTCCATGGTGAGGCACTGCACTGTTTTCCAAGGAATCTTGCAGCCCAAAGGCAATCCAACACTACCACCATGCCTGCTGAAGCTGGAAGTGGCCCATGCAGGCAAGCACAAGCCTCCCCACAGAGACAGTTAAGTTATCCCCACTAGTCTTATTCACACCCATCCGAGAAATTCCGTTGCAACTCCCAGGAGCCTTTCCCTAGAGGTCAGGAGGCTGTGACCCAGCTGAACTCCACCCTCTCTCCTCAATTTGCTCTATAATTCAGCACAGCACTACTTTGAGAACAACTTTGTGATGCTGCTTTGCTGTGAGTGGCATAATGGGGAATAATAAGCAGGTGCTTCTGAATACAACCCCCGAACAGCAGGCAAGTAAAACTACTATAAATGAAGCAATTAAGTAACCACACTGTTCATTGTTTATTGACAATCTTTATTAGGGCTGATTTGCCCTGTTTGGAGGTTTCCTAGTAAGTATAAATATGAATCAAAGTGCTACCCCACAGTAAGAAACCTTTATTTGCACAAAAAAAGATACAAACAACCAGTATTTCAAAGTTTATGCTGTTTAATACACATAATGCCAAAAAGGCAAAACATAAACCAAGATGAAAGACTAGCAGCAAAAAGAATTCTATTTCTCTTTCAACACTGTCTGTGTGCTTCCACATTTCTCTAGCAAAGAGTATAAAGAGAATTCAATCAATTTACATATGAAATATCCCACCAAAAATATAACACTGTGTAAAGAAAGTTTAGTAGTACAAAGTTTGGGAAGGAGGAAAAAAGAAAAAAGAAAAAAGGAGAAAACAGTAGATGTAATATTAAAAATCTCAAGTGCAAACTTTGGTGCTGCTTTGAAATTAAAAAAACCAACAAAAGTCACATGAGTATTTCCGTTTGGCTTAGGAGCCAGGAAAATAAGAAAAGCTGATTTTTTTTATTTTTTTTTTTTCTAAAGTGCTTAACCACCATATCCAAAAGTAATGACTTTCAGACCTACTTAACATGAATGTGCTCAAAAAGCCACTGCTTACAGTATAAAAGCTGTCATTCTGAAATGCTGCACATACAAACTGGCTTTATCTGCACGAATGAAAGATTCCTTTGAGCAGCTCTCAATCATATGATGTCCCAAATCAATGTAATGCTATTAGAGCAGGCAGCTGAGTAAGTCCCAGAAAGTTGAAGTTTAAGAATAATAGATATAAAAAGCCCAACCTTTTTTTCCTGTGAAGGCAGTGTGCCTGTCCCAGCTGCAGGAAGGTAACTTCATGTAATGAGCAAGAGAAACAACACAGTTCTATGTTATTGTTGTAAGCCACCTAACACAAACTGACTGCTCATCTCCTAATTCCCATGTTAAACAGAGGGATATAGATACTTTTTACTGATAAAGCACAAAAAGGCAATTACACGGGTGGGATTGATTGCTAACACAGTATTTGACATATTATTAAACATACTGTCAACTCGACTTCCAAACCGACAGCATGTCCTAACAAAAAATAAAAAGAGAAAACCAATGATTTGAGGAGCTTTATGATTGTTTTGTTACACTGTTAAATATTTATTCGAGCCTTAGTGCAAAGGAAAAATTTAATATCATAGGCTCCAAAGCAAATCAAATACATAAGACTGTTTCAGAGCAGGTTTCAACAGACATTAGACATAGATTCCAAGAGAAATTTAATTTTTTTTTCTCTCAAGGTTAGAAAACACATTTAAAAATTGGAGCAAAGACTCTGCATTCATTAACCTCAGGTAGAGCTATAAATCATTTCCACCCCAGCAGTCTCCCAAAGCAGAAAGACAAGAGACAAACCAAACTGCCAGTACAGCTGCACTGTGCCCACAGCACTGCTCATCCCCACTGCTGCTGCACCAATTTCTCCATCAGCTTTGGGCTCCTGCAACTTGAGTTTGTTTACATCCATCTGCTTCACAGGAGCAATGTTTCTAAACCATTTCTCGAAAGTCACCAATTCCCAACATAGTATTCATTGTCCTTCAGAACAATTTTGAAGTTAGAGAACCTGGTTTGTTTACTGCTCCAATACAAGTTACCTAGGAAAGGTAACTTTTCCCCATACAGTTCCTGTAAACACCCCTGCATTAAGCCAAAGCAAGCTCTAGACCAGAAAACTCGGCATCTCCAGTGACTTGACTTTACCTCACTTCTCCTCTACAAAAACATTAAAAAACCCAAACAAAACCCCATTATAATTAAAAAGGATAGGAAATGGCACAATAAGCAGTGAAACACAGTTACACAAGCAAACATCTAAAATAAGCCTCTGAAAATGTAACATTTGAAAAGCAATGATTTTAGTGGTTAAGGAGTGCAAATGACTAAACCCAATGTCTGTTTCAGAGACAACCAAACACTGTAGCCATCAATGATTACTATTCAAGTCCAGCACTGGCAGTTGTGCTGCTTTTGTTGCCGTTTTGGACACTATACATTATCACTTTCTCTGCATATTTCATGCCTCTTATTTTTTTTAGCAGATCCCAGCAGCACAATTTTTCTATGGTAAACCAGAAAAACTTCCTGCTTTTCTTGTAAAGGTTTCCTGTCCACCCCAAGTCTGAATGTCATGTGGAATTAAAAATGTTCTAAGAGGGATCATCAGATATTATTTCAAGTTTTGCCTGTCGATGAAAATCCCCTCAAAAAGGTTCAAAATCTCAGGTTTTTGTGAAACAAATATGATAAATATGGGAAAATACCATGCAAGGGAAGTGTAGCTATTGATGTGAAGTACAAAAGCTTAGAAACAGAAAAACACCAGCTTCAGCCCGAGACTGGAAAACAAACCACCACAGATTTTTTCAAACCCTGAGTCCATACAGTGTCACACAGCCCTGCCTTGTCATGTTTGTTAATATCCTCGCTTAGAAGTCAGACAGCATTTTGTTTAACTTGTGTTGCTCTGTATCATTACACTAAACCATAATTAACTCCTCTTTTGTGCCGGCCTCATTCCAACACAATTGTACCCACTGTATACCAGCAGCAGTTCTCAGGTTTTGTTTCACAGCTCAGCTGTATTTTTCTTGGATGTTCACAAGACTGGCATTTGACTGGATGCGCTTGGCTAGAAAGGGAAAAATTATATGAAAATTAAACACAAAGAATTCCACAAAACTCGTCTCTCCACACTCCCTCTATTTATCCCACACAGACTTGCAAACAGCTTTCTGTTCACGTCCAGAAACTTTAATGAAAAGATATGGCTGAAGCTCTTTTACTCCCCTTCTTCAGGGGACAGCAGCAGCCTAATGGTTGCTATTAGCGCCGTCAGCACAGCTGCAGGCAGAGCTGGCTGGGCCCCTCTCCCACAGGAGCCAAGAGAGGCCCTGGCACCACACAGCCCCACAGGGAAACCAGCGCCACTCACGCAGAATGAGTATCCGTTTCTTCTGCTTCGAGTGAAGGAAGCTGCTGAGATAGAAAACAATAGGTAGGAAGAGGATAAAGGATGAAACTGCAATCACTGGGACTGTATCGCTGCAGGGGACAGAGCAGTTGAAAGTCCTGCTCCAAAGCTTCCGAGTGATGTTCATCTGCAAGGAAAACATAAGCAAACCATGAAAGCAAGCACATGCATGTTGGCCCTGCAGCATGGCATGGCAAATGCTCAGGCCTTGAGATATTCAAGTGTTCAAATACCACCTCAGAAAACAACACTAACAGATCTCCCCCCCAAAAGCAAGTAAATCCCCGCAAATGTAGAAGTAGACTATTTAAATGGAGCTAAGATTTCACATCAAAACTTTCACAAGCTTCAAAAACACAACTGTACTCAGACATATGTAAACATTGCCACGTGCCTGTTTCCCTGACAGCCTGTGGGGACAGGACTAATCCATACTTTTGACACCACTCATTTTGCCCAACCACTTAAAACCCCACAATGTACCAAAGCTTCTTCCAAACATATGCCAGCAGTGCTGAGGACCCCTAGAAACAGCTGCTGTAATAAGGAATCAGTTAATACACCAGCTAGAACAATAGGAAGTAAAGCTTCATATTAAAAGCCAGAAGATTAAGAGATTTATTTTTTTAAATCCATCCCCTTCACAGGCACAAGAAATCAAAGTGCAGCTACTCGAGCTGGAATGCACTCGGGTGATCAGGAGCTTCAGTCATGCTCCTGCAGCACTGACTGGGGACAGGGCCAAGCATGACAGTCCCACTGAGCTAACTTCCCCCCAGGCCCAGAGGGAAAGGCAATCTCTAGCAAGGCAAGCACAAATGGCTCAGGTTAACAAAGACCTGCATGGCAAGGCCTCCCTGCTGAGCATTAATAAATACTTACTGCATCCTCCACATCGATGCACAGGTGTGCGGAGTGCCCGGACTCACCACCCTGCCTGTTCATCCTCTGCAAGTTGTTATACAGGTCATTCAGCTTTGTGTAGGTTTCGTTGCAGTTTTTACACACTTCTGTGTAGTTATTTGGTGAAAGATAAATGGTTTGTCCCTAGGGTTATAAAACACTGTGTGAGTGCTGGTTTAAGGCATGATAAAAAGAGCTGGTTTGATTCTGTTGGCCCACACCTAACAAGTGTTAGGCTGCTACTGCTGAGCTATATTGACAGGGACAGACTGGACCATACTAAGCAATCCTTTTCATTTGTGCCTTCAGCACCCCTGAATGCCATACAACACCCTTGAAAACAAAACTACAATCTCTGAAGACATTTCAGCTCAGTAATGGCTGTACTAGCAACCCAATGACCACTGGATTGAGTTGTGGTTTAGACACTTGAAGTGATCACTAGGCCAGTCCACTCTGCTCCTGACCAAGGCCTATAAAGGCACATTTCCTAGAAAGCATTAATAATAAAAACCAGACAGTTTCCTCAGAGGTTGTCCCATACCCATCATTTCCCACCTTTACTTCTGAATGACCCTGGAACTTGGCCAGTTTCTGACTGAAATAGAATATGCAGTTCCCTAGGCCATATAGGCATTTTCCCTGAGGACAATTACAACATTTATTTCACTAAGGAAGTTATAACTGTTATACCCTTTGCAATATGGCCAAACTTTAATTTCTCATAACTTTAATAGCAAAAAGAAATGCTACAACAACTTAAGGTAGCTGATCTTCCTGAACTACTCCATATTATCAAAAGGATATTTAAAGACTGAAATTTCTAAGTCAGAAGACAATTCCACAAAGAGACAGGAGGAAAAAAATACTTCCAGCATGCAGACATATAATTATCAACTATTGTGAATTCAGAAATTCTGATGTGAAGTAGCATTGCAATTACACACAAAATGAAGTCAAGGTGAATATCAATTAGAATTAATTTTAGGCTCTCAATCTGTAAACAACTGCATTTTACAGATCATTGCTTTACCTGCCTAAAATTCACAAACTCAGCAGCAGTTTATTTGCCTACTCTGTACCTGCAGTTTATTCAGCATAAATAAATTTTGCTAGCAATTAGAGGATTTAGTGCTTCGCTTAAATACACAGAATAAATACCTGAAGGTTATGTTCAAAACATGTCAGAGATTTATTGAATAAATCCAGGAATTCTAGAGTAGAATTTGATAATCCCTCACTGTTGTTCTTCAAACAATCTGTCAAAGAGAAAGAAAAACATCAGGATATTCTGATTTCTAACATTTCCACAGCGACAAGCCCCAGACACTCCACTCCTGCAAAAAGAGCTCTCGACTATAAAAGACAGGTCTAGCCAACACTGCAGTTTCCTTATCTGCCTGCCACTGGTGTCTCAGACCTGCTGACCTAACTCTTCATCCAGAACACTTTTCAGAATTAATTGGCCTTGATTAAGTGAAAGATGAAGACTATCATCAAGAGCTTTCTGAAGAGGGGGTCTGAATTATCTTTAGACTTTGAGATAAAACAAGACGTTGCTTGTATTTTCCAGCCCGCAAATCTGGCTTTGCCCAGCAACAGTAACAGCCATTTTGTGGAAGCAGAAGCACCAGCAGCAGAGCTGAAACAGAGAGCAGCCAGGAAACAGACAGACCACGAACACAACAGCAGAAATCAGAAGGTAGATTATTATTCTTTAATAAAAGAGCTGAGCGTTTCACCAGCTTTGAGGGGAGCTCTCAGGCTTTCCTCCTAGTCATAGGCTCAGCCTTACCATGTTACTGTTTCCATCCATCCTACCCCTGCCTCAGGTGCTCAACCAGCCAGAGCCTCAGAAACAACAGTATTTTGGGAATTCAGGTGTTCAGAAACATCACTGTGAGAGCAAGCCAACATCCTAGAAAATTCTCCTGAAAGGAGTAAGCGCCATCAGTAGTGAGGGCAGGCAGCACACAGCTCACAGGCTAAGCACAGCAGGACAGCACAGACCACAGAGCAGCTCCTGTTCTGCCTTTCCAGCCCTCACAAATGAGAATAAACTCTGCTGGGCTCTCAAGGGACTCTGCAGCAAACCCAGCATCTTTAGTACTCAACTCTACAGTGCTGCTCACACTGTTTCCTAGTGTATCTGTCAGGGTAGGGTCGCACTTCCTACTCCAAGGGAACGCAAAAAGCCACAGTTGAGCTGTTAGCATGGCACAGCACCACCAGCACTGGGAAAGTGAGATACAGAGAGAGACTCAGACACTCTCCAAAACCATGCCTCTGGAGGCAGATACTGTTTAGCACACAGCACCCCAGAGTTAATAACTTCACTAACAAACAAGGAAAAGTTTCTTATGCAATGCAGTATCAACTGCAACAAAGCCAAAGCAAGTTTCCAGCAAGGCAGATCACAAAGAAAATTAGCAAGAGCACTTTTTGAAAGAATTGTCTAAAAGAGATATTTATATAACAACTAAGTTTTCCAACAAACTATTGCCCTCAGATTCTGACCCTTACAGAAGAAAAACTCTTGGAGTGGTTATAGTTTAGAATCATAGAATCATCAAGGTTGGAGGAGACCTCTAAGATCATCAAGTCAAACTATCAACCTGCCACCCTACTGTAACTCCTAAACCATATCCTCCAGTGCTAGATCCAGACACCTCTTAAACACCCCCAAGGATCTGTGTATTCAAACAAATACATACAATTCTGATCTGTGCAAATTTTAGGGGCTAATTCATAACAGTAGCATGAAAGCTCCAGGATGAGACACGTACTTGCACAGTTGGCTGCCTCCCAGGTTTCATTAAAGAAGTCCGAAAGGGTCACAACAATCTGCAGCCTGTCTGAGGTCAAGATGCTTTTGGCACAATTGTGGCTCTCAGAAGAATTCTAGAAATAAAAGGAGACAACAAAAGAAGGAAACAAGTGTTAAAAATACAAAGGGAGAATGTTGAAACATGTTTTACACAAGCACAGCTAAATAATCACAACACATCACATGAGTGTTTCTAGAAAAGGCAGAGAACAAAAATCTTGATCCTCCAATTCATACTGAGCGGCACAGCTTACTGCACATGGACTCTGAACACCTACTAGGACAGAAATACATGACATAAAGAAAAACCAAAGAGACAGAGCCTTCTCTGCCAGGTGGCTGACATGGCTCCATCCCTAGGCCACTGCCCCAGGCACCAGCTCCAGGCATGTGCAGTCAGAGAAAAGGACAGGGCTGTCCTTGTTGGACAGACAGAACATCTGAAGGAGCTGCACCAATGGAGTGGCCTCAAACAAACCAAACCCAGACAGAAACAGCCTCCAAAACCGCTGTACCAACGTACTGTACCAGCAGCAAACTTCCCCTGATGCAGCAGCACCAGGACAGTCCTCTGCAGAGCAGTGCCTGGGCTCACTGCCCACACCTATAACCAGACCAGGCTCTCATCCTCCCCAGACATAGGCACCATGCTCACCTCTTAGCAAGGCACCCAACACACCCCATCCTCAGAGCAGGCCCTGGCACAACTCTTACAGCAACTGACTCTCTGGACCAAGCTCATGCAAAAAAGCAGAGCGACTATAAAAGCAGTTACAGAATAAACAGGAAGTGTCCTGATCAGAACCAAGATACGAAACCATGACCTCCAGTCAGCTGCCTCCCATGCTCTAGCTCCTGGTTTCTGGCTGCTAAATTGACTTAAGCACTTCTGGAAATTGCCAAAGCTGCCAAAAGCCTCTTTGATAAGTGACGTGGGGCATAGAAAAAAATAATCTCTTTAACGAGAAACTGGTTCCTTACAGAGCTTTGGAGGGATCCAGTTTCTGCCTCTCTTTGTTAAAATGGGGGAGAGGGGGAGGTGTTTAAATAAGAACTTTCCCTTAGAGGCTCAACTGCACAAGTCAAACATTGCCACATCTGGTAACTCCTACGCATTTACCCACTTTCATTTCTACTAAATTACAAGCAGAAACACAAGAATGTTGTGTCTGTGGTAAACTCTGGTTGCTTCACAAAGGCCTCTAACTGTGAAACTTCCTCACCACCTGAGCTCATGAGTGAGAAAAAGCACTTTACCAAAACTGAACCAAGTAGACCTAAACCATTCCTTAAATATGTTTGCCTAATTGATTCTTTAATTACCCTAGTGAAGAGGATTTTACATTTCAGAGATCGCCAAAACTTAAACTTGGCTACTCCTGTCATGTTATACTCTTAACTATTGTTAAGATAAAAACATCAGACAACTGATCACTTCTAATCATGGACTGAGGCTGTAGGAGGTCACATCCTTTATTTGTTTGGTTAGTTAATCCACACACAGAAGGAAAGTCAAACACTCTCTCATACAGATGTGTCTTCCAGACCACATAGTGGATCAGCCCCTCCCAGGCTGCCAGTACTCAAGCACAGCAGCTGCAATGAGTTCATACACACTCAAAGCACAGGAATGTGTTTGGCAACCTAATCCTAGCCAAAACATCATGCCAAAAATACCCAGGGCAATTACATAATTTCTCACTTTCACACTACGCAGTCACTGGTGTGAAACAGCTTCCATAAGAGAAATGAAACAGAAAACAGGTCTGCAAACTAAAACAAGAGACCAGTGGGTAGACATTTGCCCTGGAGAAGACAATCACCAAGTGAACACCCAAGCACTTCTCCAATGCAAGCACTGACGTGGTGAGTGGAAAGGGGCAAACAATCCAACACTTCAACAACAGGTAACTGAGCTGTGAAATGTTTTGCAGCAGGACACTGTGGCACCAGAATTCACATGGGTTTAAAGAGCAACAGATTTTTTTTGTTGATGATGATTCTAAATCTTAGGATTCAGAAATCCCAAGACTGGAAGCACAATCTCAGCAGCACACACTGGTACAAACTTGTTCTCTGTCTGTCCCGTCACCAGGGCACCCACTTCCAGTCACCACCAAAGGACAAATATCCTTGGGTCTGATCCACTATTATCAACCTCACATCTTCCCAGGAAATAACTTTCACAAATGGGTAAACTGGATGAGAACATGCAAAACAACCACCTCCAACACTGAGAAATGAAAAAAAGAAAACCACAAACCAAATCAAAATCAAAGTACAAAGTCTGGAGGATGCAAATAGAAGACCCAGCTTCAGTCAAGGTTCTCCCACTGCTAGGGTGCATTGACTCCAACCAGTGCTCACAACTTCTAATTTGCTGCCACACATTCCCAAAAAGCTTTGGAGCCAAGAACTGTGACATGGCTCCTCGCAGATGATGTGCATCACCACGGCTTCACAGACCATGAACTTTCCAACAACTACCAAGCAGCCAAGCTCTGGCAGTGTTCCCCATTAGTGCCATACAACCTGCGAACCAGAACCACTGCTACATCAGCAAGAACAACTCAAGTTCTTCCACTTGCACAGCTTCGTTCTGCAGGTG